GATGCCGGATCTCCTGGGCGCGGCCATGGGCGCCTCCAGAGCGCCCCCGGAGCGGCCCAGGAGGCGGCAAACGGGTGGCAAGCCACACGGCCTCAGGCCGAGAGCGCCCCAAGACAGCCCAAACTGGCTTCAAGACGGCCGAAAGCATTTTCTGCCGCTGCTGGCAAGGGAGGTGGGGGGTCAAACAACCTTCCCCACCCCCCGAAAATGATTCGACGGCCGGGAAGACTACTCGGGGGGTCCAGCCTTCCCCCCCGCGCCCTCCCCCCCGCCAACGACGACGACGGCGACGACGACGACGACGACGACGTCGCCGCCGCCGCCACCACCAAACCACGACGACGACGACCACGGCGGCGACAACGACGCCGAAGACGCCGAAGACGACGACGACGACGACGACGACGACGACGACGACGACGACGACGACGACGACGACAACTACGACGACGACGACGACGACCACGACCACGACGCACGACGCACGACGCACGACGCACGACGCACGACGCACGACGAACGACGCGACGCCGAAGACGCCGACGACGACGACGACGACGACGACGACGACGACGACGACGACGACGACGACACGACGAAAAAATACGACGACGACGACGACGACGACGACGACGACGACGACCACGGCGCACGACGAACGACGCGCCGACCACGACCACGAGGACCACGACCACGACGACTCCGACGCCGACGCCGACGCTGACGCCGACGCCGAACATGACAACGACGACGACGACGACGACGACGACGACGACGACGACGACGACCACGACGCAACGACCACGACGACGACAACGACGCCGACGACAACGCCAACGCCGACGCCGACACCGACACCGACGCCGACGACGCCGCCGCCGCCGCCGACGACGACGAGTACGACGAAGACGACAACGACGATGACGACAACGCCTACGACACTTATGACGACGACGACGACGACGACGACGACCGAGCCCTCTTGAGATGCGAGTCAAGCTGGATCGAGCCTCAATAGAGTCCCATTAAAACTGGGTCGAGCCCTGATACGAAAGATTCTATTCGGGTTGGATCCAGCCCGAATAGGATGCTATGAAGCATGGGTCGAGTCTTAATAAAGTCAAATTAAAGCAGGATCCAACTCTATAACAGTGTGCCATTAATGCTGGATCGAGCTCGAGGTGGAATTCCATACAACATGGATCCAGCCCTGATATGAAACTACTAGAACTGGACGCAGCCGTCCTAGATTTCTGATAGAGCTGAACCGAATTTCAATAAGCTTCTATGAGGGCCGGATCCAGCCCTATGAGGACTCCATTAAAGTTGGACCGAGCCTTGGTAGGATTGCATCAGAGCTGGGCCGAGCCCTTGTAGGATTCTGAGAGAGCTAGATCGACCTCTACAAGGATGTCATCAAAGCTGGATGGAATCCGAGCAGGACTCTGTCAGGGCTGGTACCAAGCTTACTAAGACTTGATTAGAACTGGATCCAGTCCAATCAGGATTGTATGGGAGCTAGATCCAGCCTCAGCGGAATTCTATTAAAAGTGGATTGGCCCCCAGTGGAATTTGTAAAAAGCTGGAGGTCCCCGAGGCTGCTCCAAGAGGGGCCCCAAACGGAGGACCCGAACTGACATTTCGACCCCTCGGCCCCGAAAGGCCCCCAGCAAGCCCCAAGCAGCTCCCAGGTAGCCCCAAGAGGCCCCCAACGGCCCCCAGGAGGCACCGAGGAAGCCCCAAGAGGCCCCCAAGAGGCCAAGAGGCCTCGAACTGCCCCCGGAAGGCCCCCGAGAGCGTGCCGAAGAGACCCAAGAAGCATCCCTGAGGATTCTAACCCGCAACCCAAGCACGGTGGCGGGATGGGCGGAAGGCCATGAGATTGGTACAATACGGCGGCGGATTGATCGACGCGATTGAACTCGGCGGGCCCCCTGCGGGCCATGGCCGTGTCAGCCGTCAAAGAAGATGATGAGGTAATGCTGGAATGGAAGGCTATGTCATGGCATGCGGCAGGCGCGCATTCCGCAAGGCAAGGCTGCATCACAGCTCCTGGGGCATGAAAAAAAAACGTGCGGCACGCGCCCCGAATGCTACGAAAGTCTCGTTCGGGCGCGTCCCTCACGCATTTCCTGTCCGACTTGACGCTGGGGTACATATGAATACGAGCGACTTACCCCCGCATGGCCGCGAAACCCTCAACTCTGCACACCCCATCACGCACTTCCTGTCTCATACTCCCCTGGGACACCCAAAAGGCGGTCCGACCCACCACGGAACGCCAACATGGCCCCGAGAAACATTGCAACGACTGAAGCCGACCAACGTCGAAGCAACATCCTTAACACCCAACGGTTGCAAAATCTACGAGCAAGCTTTCCCCTGGGGGCCCGCCGTGACTCCCGCTCTGCAAGCTCAGTAAAGTCCTACAGGGACCTATGAAGAAGGAGCTTGTAAGGAAAATGTACTGCAACATCGTTGATGCGTCTTGGGTTTACACCAGTCCTCCTCGTCCTCCTCTGGTCCCTCCTCCTTTTCCTCCTCCTCCTCCTCGTCCTCGTCCTCCTCATCCTCCTCCTCCTCGTCGTCCTCATCCTCCTCCTCATCCTTCTCCTCCTTCTCCTCCTCATAGTCTTCCTCGTATTCCATTGAGTGATCCTCTTCCGCATATTCCTTCCCATCTCTTCTCGTATACCGCCCTTCCTTTTTTGCTCCTCGCCCGTCCTCCCCCATACATCCCTCCCACATTCCTCGCCCTCCACCTTCGGAAACCTGCGACCCCCATAGAGACACCACAAATTGACCCATCCAACCCATGCGCAACGAGGGGCACCATCCAAATGCCTTTCCGATATACATGTTGGCACGAGAATCAGCGCGGCCCTGCGTGGACGCGAACCAGGGCTGAAGAAGAGCAGGAAGGGGGAAGGAACAAATACCGATGACGAAGAGGGAACGAGCACGGGGTAGGAAGGGTAAAGAAGGCGGGCGACGGCGAGGACGAGGAAACGTAGGACGGCACGACAAGAAAAAAGGGCACGCAATGCGATGGGGAGCGAATTCTGGTCACACCGGTCGCGCAGGAACGCTTCTAGATGCCAGCGTCCCTCGCAAAGGAGCGCGCCAGTCCACGCTTGGGCGTTAGCGACAGGCGGGCGGATGCCAGAGGCTGGCGCCATGAGATGGGAGTGATCATTTGGATTTGCGTAGGGCTTCACTCCACTGGACCTCCCAAAAGCTCGCGAAAGTGCCGATGGATCCGCTGTTGGCAGCGACCAGGGAGGGGAGTAGTAGTTTGGAACTGCGTAGGACGTTACTCCGCTGGTCCTGCTGATGGAAGTGCTGACAGTTGCGCAGCTAGCAGCGCCCAGGAGAGGAACAATAGATCGGATGTGCGTAGCGCGTCAATCCGCTGGACCTCCCAGGAGCTCACGAAAGTGCAGACAATTGCACTGGCACCACACACAGAGGGAAGCAATGATCCCTGATTCCTGATGGCGTGAGGAGTCGTCGACTGCCGCCCCCCCCCAGGGCCGGCCGCCCCTGGGAGGTTGATCAAACTGGAGCCTGGTGGCCCGTAGAGCACCGCTCCAAAGGCCACCGGCTGGCACGCATTTTTACGCGTAGAGGTTTTAAGTAAAGGGGAACAGAAAGACAGTGATAGAAGTGATAGCTTGGTTCTGCGTAGCGGGCCACTCCGCTGGACCTCCCAGTAGCTCGCGAAATTAGCGACAGCTGGGCAGTTGGCAGCGCCCGGGGAGGGGAACAAATTTGTTGGGATCTGCGCAGCGCGCGTCACTCCGCTGGATCTCCCGGGAGCCCAAGAGAGTACCGACAGTTGTGCAGCTGGCAGCTCGCAGGGAAGGGAAGCAAGGAAGAAGCGAAGCGGAAGCGAAGAGGAAGAGAAGAGGAATCGAAGAGAGGGCGAAGAGGAAGCATGGAGGCGACGGGAAATAGCAGAGGCAGGAGGCGGCAGTGAGGAGGAGGGAGGTAGAAGGCAGGAGGATGGTAGGAGTCGGGGACGAGGAGAAAGAGGAAGAAAACCGCAGCGATGTTTTCGAAAAACAAATACCCAATCCAAAGTAGAGTTGGGAACAAAACGCAGAAAGCAAAACGACTGACCAAAGCGCTCGCGGACCACTCCGAAAAGCCCCCAGAGACGGCAGAGAAACCTCCGAGGAGAGTCTTCGCCGCCTCGTCGCCGCCGCCGTGCCCTGAGATCCGACGTCGCGAGAAATACAACAGCGATGGAGATCGCATTCGGAGCCCTAGACCCCGTCGAGACAAACCAGTCAGCGACGGCCCACAGGGGCCCGAACCTGGGCGAGGACGCCCAACGTGCAAAAACAGAAGAAACAAAAAAAACAACAACAAAAAAAATGATACCGGAGAAAAACCCAATCAGGGCTATAGGGCTAGGGGGCTATAGGGCTATAGGGCTATTGAGCTATAGAGCTATAGGGCTATAGAGTTGTAGGGCTATAGGGCTATTGGGCTATAGGGCTATAGGGCTATAGGGCTATAGGGCTTAGGGCTGTAGGGCTATAGGGCACCCCCGGGCACCCCCGGGCACCCCTGGGCACGCCCGGGCACCCGGGCGTGCAGCGAAAATCGGCGACAAACCGAACCTAACCATATGAATCCGCTAGGACCCCTACAGAGGCAAGCTCTGATTGGGGAATGATGCCAGGATCTCGGGGGATCTCGGGGTCGTCGCCGCTGCGGACACGAACACGGACACGGACACGGCGCCTACTCGCCCCACGCGACGGCCCTACGGTGGGCTAGGCGGCGGCGCCTCGGCGGAGGCAGAAGTGAGGAGAAGCCGGCCGGCCGACTCACTCGATCAGATCAGCCTGCCCCTGCCTGCGCACGCAGGACTCCTCCCACTGAGACCACAGATCGCTTTCCCGTTGTCGCCGCCGCGGGGCGAGCCCTCCTCGGACCGCGGCCCCGCGACCCCCCCCCCGCGCGCGCGCGCGCGCGGCGGCGCGCACCCGTCACACCGCGGTGACGTCGGCCGGAAGGCAGCCGCCGGTGCCGAGGAAGGCGTGCCGCACGCGCCCGGCCTGCAGGCGAGGGGGGCGGGCTGCCCGCGGCTTTTGTCAAAGAGGCAGGCCGCGGCACGACGGCGGCGCCGAGGGCCGCCACGGCGGCGACGAGGGGGCCGCCACGGCAACGACGAGGGGGCCGCCACGGCAGCAACGAGGGGCCTGCCACGGCGACGAAGAAGGGCCCGCCACGGCGGCGAAGGCAGCGATCTGCTCGGCAGGGTCGGCGTCGACCTCAACCGCAAGGGCTCTGAGATTGTCATTCTGCCCTGGCGACGGCGACGGTGGCGACGGCGACGGGCACGGCGGCGGCGGCGGCGGCGGTGAGAGGGAGGGAGAGGGGGAAGGGAGGAGGAGAGGGGAAAAGAGTGGGAATGAATGAATGAATGAATGAATGAATGAATGAATGAATGAATGAATGAATGAATGAATGAATGAGCTCATGGGGTCCTCTGAAGTTCGGCCAGACAAGCAGGGCTGGCCTCGTGACTCCACTTTGGACTCTGAGGAGGTCCCCATCCAAAACTCAACGAGGTAATTGCAAGGCCCTCCACCGCGCTCCGCACCAGGCAGCACCGGCCAGGCCCGCACGCAGCGAGCTTGGAGAGGAGGCGGAGGAGGAGGGTATGGAGAAGGAAAAGAACGGAGGAGGCGGAGAGAGAGAGAGAGCAGGGAGGGTTCTGGGGAGCCTGGGCGGGAGCCATCTAGAAATGATTCAGAGGCTTCTGGTGGGCCCCCTGCAAGAATTCTAAAAATCCGCCGACCCTGTCGGCGTGAGTGCGGAGGACTTCGGGGTCCGTCCTCCCCGGGTGCTTCTAAGAGGCGATCTTTCGTTTGACTTGCTCTGCCATTCCCGGAGACTCTCCCGAGGCCCTCTGCGGCGCGCCACGCTCGTCAACTCGAGGCGAACAGAGCCAGGTCATGATCGGAGTTGCAAGTTCGGGGGCCACATGCGAACCCTACCCCTACCCCCCACGATTTCTGAGGGGGAGGGTGGGGTTCCCTCCGCTCGGGAGCTCCCGAGCGGAGTGAACCCCACCCTCCCCCTCAGAAATCGTGGGGGGCAGGGGTAGGGTTCGCATGTGGCCCCCTACCAGTGAGTCGGGAACCCCCTTCCTTTTTGATCCCTGCCCCACCCGGGGGGGAGGCCCCGGGCCCACGCCGAAGGGGGGGGTCCTGGGGACGCGCCCGGCGGGAGGCCCCGGGCCGGAATGGGGTTCCCCCCCCCCGCCCATGTTCGGGCCGCCCCCGAACCAATTCGGCCCTCCTGTGGCAGATCAGGTCCAGGATACGCCAGGAGGGGCCCCCAGAGGGCCCAGAGTCGCCCAGAGTCGCCCAGAGATTGCTCCCTTTTCGGGCCGCCTTCGAACAAACTTGGCCCTGCCTTGGCAGATCAGGTCCAAGATACTCCAAGAGGGGCCCCAGAGGGCCCAGAGTCGCCCAAAGATTGCTCCCTTTTCGGGCCGCCTTCGAACAAACTTGGCCCTCCCTTGGCAGATCAGGTCCAAGATACTCCAAGAGGGGCCCCAGAGGGCCCAGAGTCGCCCAGAGATTGCTCATCGACGCCCAAGATGGCCTCCAGACGGTCCAAGACGCCTCCAAGACGCCCCAAGAGGCCTCCAAGATCACTCCCAAGGGGACCCCAAGAGGAAACGCTCCAAGACAGCCCAAGAGGCCCCAAATCGGTCCAAGACGTCCTACGAGGCCGTCAAGAGGGCGCCGAGACGGCCCAAGAGGCCTCCAAGACAGCCCAAGACGGCCCCAAGATCGCCCCAAGAGAGGCCCCAGAGGACGAACACGAACCGACATTTCGAGCTCACCGCCCCAAGAGGCTCTCTGGAGGCCACAGTAAGAGGCTACAGAGAGGCACCCAGGAGGCCCCAAGAGCCCCCGAAGAGGCCCCCAGGAAGCCCCTAGACGCTCCCAAGAGGCTCCCAAGCGGCCTCCAAACAGCCTCCAGAGGCCCCCTGCAGCACTCCGAAGAGATCCCGAGAAGCACTGATCGCGCGAGGGGGCCCCGTTCCTCCCACCCGCCAGTTCTATCTCTCCGTTCGGAGCCCCTCTGCGGCAGCGCCGTGCGTGCCGCTTCCCGGCGGCCCGCCGGCACTGTCTCGGTTTGGGGTTCTGGCTCTTTTTCCAAAAGAACTCCCCCGGGGGCTTCGGCCCGTCCCGCCGGCCACCCGGAAAGGACCTCAACTGCACAATGCTTCCTCCAAGACGGCTCAGGATGGCCTCCATGATGGCCACGCTGGCCCGAGGTGGCCTCCAAGATGGCCAGCGATGGCCTCCAGGTGGGCCCAAGAGAGTCCAAGACAGCCCAAGAGGCCCCCCAGAGGCCTCCAAGACGGCCCAAGAGGCCTCCAAGAGGTCCTCCAGGAGGGCCCGAAGAGGCCAAAGTCATTGATTTTCCTGTAGGTTTTTGAAGGATGTTGGCATTCGCTTCTTCTCGGCTTTCCGACGGCCCAAGAGGCCCCCAAGATCGCCCCAAGATCGCCCACGAGGCCTCCAAGATGGCCCCATGACGGCCCAAGAGGCCCCCAAAACGGCCCCAAGAGGGCCCCAAGACGGCCTACGAGGCCTCCAAGACGCCCAAGATCGCCTCTAAGACAGCCCTGGAGCACCCCAAGAGGGCCCCAAGTCGGCCCAGAAAGGCCCCCCGAACGGCTTCCGACGGCGTCAGACGGGCCGGGAGCCCACCAAGGTGGCCGAAGTTGGCTCGAAGCTGGCCCAAGACGGCCCAAGAGGCCTCCAGGAGGGCCTCCAGGAAGGCCCGAGAAGGCCAACAACATTGATTTCCCATAGGTGCTTGAAAGATTTTGACATTTGCTTCTTCTCGGCCTTCCGGACCCGATACGGCCCACGAGCCCCCAAAGATCGCCCAAAGGTCGCCCAAGATGCCTCCAAGACGGCCCCAGGACGGCCCCAAGAGGCCCCCAAGTCTGCCCAAGAGGCTATTGAGACGCCCAAGATGGCGTCCAAGACGGCCCTGGAGCATTCCAAGAGGGCCCCAAGTCGGCTCAGAGAGGCCCCCCAAACGGCTTCGGACGGCGTCGGACGGGCCAGGGGCCCACCAAGACGGCCGAAGATGGCACTAAGATGGCCCAAGACGGCCCAAGAGGCCTCCAAGAGGGCCTCCAGGAAATCCCAAAAAGATCAAAATCATCGATTCACCATGAGTTTTTGAAGGATTGCGGCATTTGCTTTTTTTCGGCTCCCACGCCCGAGACGGCCCAAGTGCCCCCAAAGATCGCCCAAGAGGCCCAAGACGGCCCCAAGAGGCCCCCAAGACGGCCCAAGAGGCCTCCAAGACGCTCGAGATGGCCTCCAAGACGGCCCAAGAGCCCTCCAAGATGTCCTCCAAGAAGGCCCGAAAGGGTCAAACTGGCCCCCAGGCGGCCAAGATGACCTTCAAGATGCCCACGTGTTCCCCGAAGGCTTTCCAAACCGATTCGGGGAACACATGGTCGGATAGCTTGGCAGGTATGGCCTCAACGTTCGGCCACATAGGCGCTTCCAAAAAGGCAGGGGGCGGCGGTGATTCGCCGTAGGCGTCTTCGACCCGCCGCCCCCTGTTGGTCCTGGAAGGGGGCTCAACAATTTGTCCTCCAAGACGGCTCAAGATGGCCTCCAAGATGGCCACGTTGGCCCGAGATGGCCTCCAAGATGGTCCAAGATGGCCTCCAAGTCCGCCCAAGATGATCCAAGACGGCCGGACGGCCCAAGAGAGTCCAAGATACCTCCAAGTTCGCCCAAGAAGCCTCCAAGACGGCCCCAGACGGCCCAAGAGGCCTCCAAGAGGTCCTCAAGGAGGGCCCGAAGACGCAAAAATCATTGATTTTCCAATAGGTTTTTTAAAGAATTGTGGCATGTGTTTCTTCTCGGCATTCCGACGGCTCAAGACAGCCCAAGAGGCCCCCAAGATCGCCCCAAGATCGCCCACGAGGCCTCCAAGATGGCCCCATGACGGCCCAAGAGGCCCCCAAGACGGCCCCAAGAGGGCCCCAAGACGGCCCACGAGGCCTCCAAGACGCCCAAGATGGCCTCCACGACAGCTAAGATGGCCCCAAGATGCCTCCAAGACGGCCCGAGATGCACCCAAGACGGCCCCAAGATGGCCTCCAGATGGCCTGAGACGGCCCAAGAGGCCCCCAAGAGGCCCCCAAGAGGCCCCCAAGACGGCCCAAGAGGCCTCCAAGAGGTCCTCCAGGAGGGCCCGAAGAGGCCAAAATCATTGATTTTCCAATTGGTTTTTAAAGGATTTTGGCATTCGCTTCTTCTCGGCTTCCCGACGGCTCAAGACAGCCCAAGAGGCCCCCAAGATCGCCCACGAGGCCTCCAAGATGGCCCCATGACGGCCCAAGACGGCCCAAGAGGCTTCGAAGACGGCCAAAATGGCTGCCAAGACGGCTAAGATGGCCCCAAGATGCCTCCAAGACTGCCCGAGATGCACTCAAGACGGTCTGAGATGGTCTCAAGATGACCCAAGACGGCCCAAGAGGCCCCCAAGAGGCCTCCAAGACGGCCCAAAAGGCGTCCAGGAGGTCTTCCAGGACGGCACGAAGAGGCCAAAGTCATTGATTTTCCAATAGGTTGTCGAAGGATGTTGGCATTTGCTTCTTTTCGGCATTCCGACGGCTCAAGACGGCGCAAGAGGCCCCCAAGATCGCCCAAGAGGCCTCCAAGATGGCCCCATGACGGCCCTAAAGGCCCCCAAGACGGCCCCAAGAGGGCCCCAAAACGACCCAAGAGGCGTCCAAGACGCCCAAGATGGCCTCCAAGAACCCCTGACATGCCCCAAGAGGGCCCCAAGACGACCCAAACAGGCCCCCAAGACGGCTTCCGACGGCGTCAGACGAGTCAGGAGCGCCCTAAGACGGCCAAAGAGGCCCCCAAGAAGCCCCCAGAGGCCCCCAAAAACCCTCCAAGAGGACGCCAGGAAGCTCCCAGGAGGCCCCAAGAGTGCCCCAAGAGGCGCCCAAGAGGCCTCCTCCTCTTCCTCCTCCTCCTCCTCCTCCTCCTCCTCCTCCTCCTCCTCCTCCTCCTCCTCCTCCTCCTCCTCTTCTTTTTTGTTCCTCATCCTCCCCCTCCTCCTCTTCTTGCTCCCCCACACGTTCCCCGAAGTCTTTCCAAACCGACTCGGGGAACAACTGGCCCGATAGCTTGGCCAAGCTCTGACCCAGCTGTCGGCCACAGAGGCGCTTCCAAAAGGGCAGGGGGCGGCGGTAGTTCGCCGTAGGCGTCTTCGATCCGCCGCCCCCTGTTGATTCATCACAGGGGTGCCCAGCGTGCTGAACCCTTTCGGTTTTGGTTTTGGCTCTTTTTCCAAAAGAACCCCCCCTGAGGCTTCGGCGCGTCCCGCCTTCGGGTCCAAGACGACCGGAAATCTGAACAACGCCGCTTCCAAGACGGCCAAGATGTCCCGAGATGGCCTCCAAGTTCGCCCAAGACGAAGAAGATGGCCCCAAGATGGCTCCAAGATGTTTCCAAGACGGCCCAAGATGCCCCCAAGATGGCCAAAGATGGCCTCAAGATGGCCCAATATGGCCCAAGAGGCCCCCAAGACCGCCGAAGAGACCTCCAAGAGGGACCTCCAAGGAGGCCCGAATAGGTACAAATCATTGATTTTCAATGGGTTCTTGAGGGATTCAGGCGTTTGCTCATTTTCGGCTTTCCAATGGCCCAAGACAGCCCAAGAGGCTCCCAAGATGTCCCCAAGAGCGTCCAAGAGGCCTCCAAGATGGCTCCCTGACGGCCCAAGAGGTCCCCAATACGGCCCCAGGAGGGCCCCAAGACGGCCCAGGAGACCTCCAAGGCGCTCAAGATGGCCTCCAAGACGGCCCTGAAGCGCGCTAAGAAGGCCCCACCTCGGCCAAGGGAGGCCCCAAAGACGGCTTCCGACGGCGTCAGACGAGTCAGGAGCGCCCAAGACAAAGGAAAATTGCACAACGGCCGCCCCCAAGAGGCCCAAGGAGGCCTCCAAGAGACCTCCAAGAGGCACCCAAGGAGCACCCAGGAGGCCCCAAGAGTGCTCCAGAGGTTCTCGAGAGGCCTCTTATGTCTTCCCTCCTCCTCCTCCTCCTCCTCCTCTCCCTCACTCTGATTACCCTCCTCCCCCTCCTCCTCCTCCTCCTCCTCCTCCTCCTCCTCCTCCTCCTCCTCCTCCTCCTCCTCCTCGCTCTCATCGCCCGAGGCCCGGGGCCCGAGATGGCCTCCACGACGGCCACGAAGCACCCCAAGAGGGCCCCGAGTCGGTTCAGAGAGGTGCCCAAAGAAGCCTCCGAAGGCCTCCAGCAGGCCCAAGGAGACCCCGACGAGGCCCCAAGAAGCTCACAGCAGGCCTCAAGGGTGCCCCAAGAGACCCCCAAGGAGCCTCATCCTCTCTTCCTCTTCCTCTTCCTCTTCATGTTCATGTTCATTCTCCCCCACGTGTTCCCCGAAAGCTTTCCAGACCGATTCGGGGAACTCATGGTCCGACAGCTTGGCCATGCTCTAGCCCAACTCTCGGCCACATAGGCGCTTCCCCAAAAGTCGGCGGCGGTGATTCGCCGTAGGCGTCTTCGATAATAGAGCCCCCAGAGGGCCCCCACAGAATTCCAAGCAAGCCCTCAACAGTGTCATACCAGGAACATCTGGTGTGACACTGTTGCGGGCTGTTTCGGGAGCCCTCATGGGACCCCCTTACGCTTTTTAGAGCCTCTTCGTGCCACATTGGGGCCACTCTTCAAGCCTCTCGGGACTCGCAGAAAGCCCGGAGACAACTCCAAGAAGCCTCCAAGGGAGCCCAGAGACAGCTCCAAGAGTGTTCCCAGAAGGTCCTCGACAGTATCATACCAAGGCAGGGCGGCGGGATGGGCCGTGGGCCACCAGATGATCCGCTGCCCCCTGCGCTTGTCACAGAAGTGCCTGGCGTGCTGAATCATATACTGTTCAATGTTGGTCCTTTTCCCAAAAGAACTTCCCTGGGAGCTTCGGCTCCTTGCGCCGGCCACACGGAAAGTTCCGGGCGATGCCCGGGTGGTTGCCCAAATCGCCTCCATGATGGCCAAGATGGCCCAAGATGGCCTCCGAGACGGCCAAGATGACCTCCAGGTTCGCCCAAGATTGTACAGGATGGTCTCCAAGACGGCCCGAGAGGGTCCAAGATGCCTCCAAGTCTGCCCAAGAAGCCTCCAAGACGGCCCAAGACGGTCCAAAAGGTCCCCAAGAGGCCTCCATGACGGCCCAAGAGGCCTCCAAGAGGTCCTCCAGGAGAGCCCGAGGAAACCAAAATCACTGATTCTACTTGGGTTTTTGTTGCAGGATTTGGGCGTTTGCTTCTTTTCGGCCTTCCGACGGCCCAAGACCGCCCAAGAGGCCCCCAAGATCGTCCCCAGAGCGCCCAAGAAGCCTCCAAGATGGCCCCAGGACGGCCCAAGAAGCCCCCAAGACGGCCCAGAGGGGGGCCCAAGAAGGCCCAAGAGGCCTCCATGACGGCCAAGATGGCCTCCAAGACGGCACGGCAGGTCCGATGTAGCAGATGGCCTGGGGCCATCTGGGTGCAGGCCGCACGGGCTGAGTCAACGAATCAAGAGAGTGTGGGCGCCGTGGCGTGGCCTAGACACTGCGGCTCCAGCGTGGGAATGCATTTGGGCACCCTGCAAGGCCGCGTGAACCCATTGGCAACATATCTGCTGTCTCAGCCCTTCGGCAGTTCGGAGATGTACCAACTCGTCTCTTTATAAAGATTCATTCCTCCCTCACCAGTCCCCTTCAACGATGCTGTGTTTCCAGCAACTGAGGATCGGATGATGCGGGGTAGGGGAGACAGCAGGTGGGGGGAGAAACGTGAGGATATGCTGGTGTGGTGCGGCTGGACCGTGGTGCGCAGCGAGCGCACCAGAGGATCACTTAAATAAAATGTGGGCACGAAGCACGCGCCCGAATCCTGATAAGCAGTAGCAAAGCCTCATACGTCATCACGTGCATGGTTGGCACAATCTGGGGCTAGAAAAATGCGAAGGGTGTAGTAGACAGCTGTAACTGCCTACCTTGGGTGGTTCCAATTTGTTGCGCCCACGAGCCAGCCAGCCTGTTGCGCCGACGCCCCACGGACCCGCACCTGAGGGTCCACGAACTCACCTGAAGACCTCCCTCAGGAGGTCAGTCAGGAGGAGGAGGCGGCGGAGGAGGAGGAGGAGGAGGAGGGGGGGGTGTAAGGGAGGGGAGGGGATGGGAGGGAGGGGAGGGAAGGGAGGGAGGGAGGGAGGACGGATGGATGGAAGGGAGGAGGAAGGGAAAGAGGCGGGAGGGAGGGAGGGCGGGAGGGAGGGCGGGAAGGGGTTGGCGCGCCTCCGCCGCCGTGACGCCGAAGTTGCTGGTGCTAAGGACCACCGCCTGTCCCCCCCGCCGTCGCCGCGGGAGATCCACCAACTGTCGGAACTCTTCTCGGGACGGGCCCGCGTCACGGGGGGACGTCCGCGAGGCCTGAATGTATGCACACTCCACCGCCTGGGGGGAGGGGCGGGGACGTCCCAGAACCCCAGGGGGCGGTGGATATGGATCTCTTCGGGCCCCAGGAGGCCCGAATATGCCAGCATCCGCACGCGGGCGGCGAACATATCCGTATCCGCGTCCTCGCTGTCTGGATTCCGGGGCTCGATCCCGCATATACGCGGTCGAACGGGTACATTCCGCGCGGGGTTCGCGAAACAAAGACGCCACATCCGCGAAACCGAGGCCAAGGGGGCCCGACCCGCGATGCTGCGGATATGGCTATGTTTTCCGCCCAAGATCCACCGCCTGCCTAGGTCCAGGAAGATCGTTCCCCTGGCGGCGGGGATGTACCCATCCCGACCTGGGAACGTCGGCTTTGAAATCCTGACGCCGCGTGAATCGCTCAACCTTGAGAGATTGCCGCTTCCCCATATCGCAGATCGTCCGATGTCGTCCGAATGCGGGCCACTCGCGGCGTTCAACCTTGAACGCCCGCACTGTGGTCGCAACCGCGTCAACGCGACACGAACACACACACACACACACACACGCGCGCGCACTTTCCAAGACAAGCAAGAATGTATGACACGATTACTGTGGGGTCGAAAGCAGCAATCCATCCCGCAAAAGCGGGACCAGTTGAAAACACGTAACCGCCAGTGTGTTGCCTCAGACTCGAATCTCAAGAATATTGAGCGCCAAGATCTGGAGACAAACGCGTCGAGACCAATCTTTCTCTCTCTCTCTCTCTCTCCCTCTCTCCCTCTCCCTCTCTCTCCTTCTCTTTCTCTCTCTCTCTCTCTCTCTCTCTCACTATCTCTTTATCTCTCTCTCCCTCTCTCTTACTTTCTCTGTCCCCCCTCACAAACACACACACACACTCTCTTTATCTATATATATATATATATCGCATAACACATCTCTCAGCTGGTTGCAACCCGCCCGAAGAATCGAATTGCACCACGTCCCTGACCTTCATAGTCTGACACCTCATAGCTATCATCCACGGCAAGCTAAGCCTCCTCATTGGCACCATCCCCCTGCTTCGGGAAGGAATAAGAATACGAATAAACAAAAGAAGAAGAAGAAAAAGAAGAAGAAGAAGAAGAAGAAGAGGAAGAAAAGGAACCCTGCCTCTCCGGAATTCCTCTCCATCTCTGGCCAGCATGCGCACATGCACCGCGCCCACGCCTCGGCGCTCGCGATGGTCAACCACTGGGCCCAGGTGTCCGTGAGACCGTGCACGGCGACGGCCATGGGGCTCCGGTCCAAGTGCACGATGGCGGCGTCATTATGGCCTCTCTTTCTCTCTCGCCCCCGCGGCAAGAGTGGTGCGCGCAGGCTGCGATCCCAGGGGATAGGCAGGCCGGCTCTGGTCGGCGGTGCCAGAAAAGCGACCAGGGCAGCGGCGCAAAAGGGGGCGTGAACGAGCGTCGCACGGAGGTGCGGAGATGTGGCCCAAGGCTGACTCCAGAGA